GATCAGCCTGTGCTGAGGAGGCCCTGCAATATAGAAGAGGCACAGTTACAGTGGACCTTGTTAGTTTGCCCCTCAGAGATGATGGAGGCAAGAGACTACAGTTACAGAACTTGTATTTCACTTTGTTTCTTATCATTACTAAAGGACGAGATAAACAACAGACCATATATTTTACAATATATTTACCCACCAGAATATTACAAAATATATGCTCATCACATTTCCCTTTAATGTCAAACTGATTTTTTTCAGGGAAAGGCCAATAAATTGGAAGAGATTTTAATCTTTCAAAGAGTCTCAAACATGCCTCACTAACTGCTATGAACTGAATATTCTGTAAACTTTACCATAAATGGTTGGGTGCCAGCAAATGCAGCTAACTGTTCTGTCCTTGAGATAATGTAGGTCTGTAAATGACTGGTATTCCTTAAGGAAAACATCTGACTTCCCCGCAAAGGCCCCTTCGTCTTCTGCAAGGGCTTTCCAATCATCAAAAAAGGCATCCATTATTTCATTTTGTTGTAACGCTATTTCAACTCTGTGGTATGGGAAAATTTGAAAAAGAAAAATTAGATGCTACTTCTCAAAGTATAAAATGTACTTATATCAGAAAGTATGTAATTTTCAGTTTCAAAGGAGTGTTGCTTCAACTACTGTGGTGTACATGTCATGTTTCCTGTATGGTTGATAACCAGAGGATTCAACACCAATCTCAGGTATGTATTTGGGAAGAAAAAATATTTATATAATACCTGGTACTGCTTAAAAATCAAGCAAATTTAACAAAATGATGGGATTCAAGACTTTCTGCAATCCTTTTTGTTTGACATCATTATTTGCCACAATTGTGCAAGAGAAACACTAATTTAATTCTACAGAGAGGGGTACAGGGCGCAAGATGGCTTCTATGGCTGTCAAGCCCACCCTGGGCTCCCGGCATAGACCCTCCCGAGGCTGTGATGACTCAGGACGGGGGAGGTCCGACGGCTCTGGAAGATGAGGCCTGTAAAGAAGAGGGGGAGCGTTAGGGTAGGGATGGAGTTTGAAGGCACTCCATAAGTCCCTCTACCTCTGTGCATCGGCTCCCCAGCTTCTCAGCATCCTTCCCGGACTCCTCTCTCTGGCTGCATCAGGTAGTTCTGAGCACGTCCTTCCTCCCTGGCCCCTTCGCTTCCCTCTCCTTTATACCTAGCTCCCTCTCCCAGCACCATCTTCCGTCCCCGCCTCCCTCTCATTCCTCCCAGCCCTACCCCCCCATGATAAGCTCCAAAGCCATCCCCACGGCCTGGGTGTGGTTGGAGCTATGCCATGGTGGTCCTGTCGGCCTGGGGCTGTGCTGCTGGCACCGGTGTGCAGGGTCTCGTGTGTTTGGGCGTTCGGTGTCAGCCTCTCTCTGGCGCTGTCGGCCTCTCCTGCTGCTCCTTGAGGCTCTTCGCTTCACGGTTGGAGTGGTCCGGACTGTCATGCCTTGGCTGCACTGACGGGGTCCGGTGTTGCGAGGTCTTCTCAGTCTGTGGGCCTCTTGGGTGAGTTGGAGGTCGTTGGGGTCCCTGGGTGGTGTGGGGTACGTCCCGGGACCCCGGGACCAGGACAATGGCAAAAGCATGTTATTTTAAAGCCCAGACTTGGAATCTGGGAGTGATGCTCCTTCACCATTGCATATGCACAGCCATTCATTATTTCTTATGCTGTGATTCTTAACCTGGCATTGACAAACAGGGCCTAGAGCTGAGTATTGGTAAAGCCCAGTTTTGTTCATATTCTCTGAATTGTCTTCCTGGGATATTGCCTAAAATCTGGTGTTCAGAAAGACGGCATGTATAAAGGATATGCATTTTTCAGAAACTTCAAAAACTTCAACAGCTGATAAAAGTTAAAATTTTCAGACTACAGCTGCACACTGTTAGGCACATCAAGTAGGAAACTTGGCCCCCAAAATCTGTTGGATTTACTAGGACGTCAGGGGACAATCTCATCAATGGCTTCAGAGAGATGGACACTCCAGTCCTCTACCAGCTCATCTAAGGAGGCACCGGAGGGCATTGGATCCCGCAGAGCATTCTGGAAACCAACTGGATCAATCAATCTCTGCAGGCAAACATAAATCCACTCACTACCTAGACGGGGAAGGGGGTCACCCAGCCGAGCCTTCAAGACCAAGTGGTCTGACCATGGCACCTCCTCCCTTGAGGTCAGATTCACATTCATCCCCATGCCAAAGATCAGATCCAGGATGTGGCCTGCTTGATGTGTGGGGCCTGATACAACTTGGGAAAACCCCAGTGCTGCCATGGAAGACACCAGATCCAGAGTCTGATTGGTGGTGGCAGTTCTGTCCACATGGACGTTGAAGTCCCTAAGAACCAGTAATCTTGGGAACTCCAAAGCCCACTGAGCCACCACCTCCAGCAGGTCCAGCAGGCTGTCTGTCAGTGCGCTAGGCGGTCGGTACACCAAGCAGACAGCCAAGCTTTCCTCAGCATCACACACTAAGCCAACACAATCAATACCTACGATCTTTGGCACGGGGGGTGGCCTGAAGGAGAAACCCTCCCGGATGTGTAAGGCAACCCCTTCCCTTCACCCGAGTTTGTGACTGGTAGAGGACTGAGAGTTCTTGTAGGGCAACAGTCTCATTGTCCTTCACCGAGGTCTCAGTAATGCAAGCCAGGTCATACAAGCTGATAGTCAGCCAAATAGTTAGTCAGCTCTTTAACCTCCCTTTCTCCCACTCTGAGTAGAAACAGAGGCCTTCCTTCTCAATGATTCACCATCACTTGCCTGTGTCTGGGCTCATGAATAGTAAATCAGTCACTGAGGTACATAAAGGGAAGACTGAAGAGGCTTCTGGTGCTGACTAGACAAACTACACAGCTTGCATTCCTCTCAATATACAACTTTTAATGGATACAGCATGATACTTAACCTTAAAGCCACAGAGAGAACAAAGTTTTTCAGCTCTTCTGATGATAAATACTTATTCTTTTCTTCATCTGAAAATTCTCTAGGATAATACTGTGTCCCTTCATTTTTTGGGTAAGCCCTACAGAAATGGACAGACATCATTTAGAAATGGGGGGACCAATCTGTTATGATATAGTCCTATTTCCTTTATACAAATGCTCTGTTTTACATAGTATGCAAAATACCAGGAGCGTGGGAGCCGTCCTGACCTCCTCTGGCAGACTGTTCTACATGGAATGTGTACAGACAGTTGCTGATCTTGCCAATCTGGAGGGTGGCACCTGCAGAAGGCCCTTCTAAGAAGAGCAGTCATGGATGGGTGTAAGTGAAGTTCTGAAATGTTGTAGAACCTCCCTCCCTGCCCCTCTTTTCTTCAAATTTCTCTTTGATCAAAATAAAACTAAACAGAAACAGACCCCAAATTCCTAAAAAGAGGGAAAGAAGTAGATTGTTGGATTTCAGAGATAAATTGGGTAAAGAGGAATTAAGGTAATTTCTCTTAACAATGCTAGGGAGAACTAGATGCAACAGTCATGTTTAGTTAAATTATCTGTGTCATTTCCCCGCTCGTTATCACTGGCTGCCAATGGTGGGGATGGGGGAAACAATACTTTTGAGGAGGAGGGATGGGACTGCCATTTTTGGTAGCAGATTCATTTCCAGTTGTAGCTAGTTCTTCTTTCAAGCAGGGTTGCCAACTCCAGCTTGAGAAATTCCTGGAGGTTTTGTGGTCAGTGCCTGGGGAAGATGGAGTTTGGACAAGGAGGGAGCTCAGCAGGGAGGTGATGTGACTCTTATGTTTTTTTTCCTCCTTGACTGTAGGGAATACCCCACAGTCTGTCCTCTGAAGTTGCCATTTTGTCCAGGGAACTCATCTCTATAGTTTGGAGATCAGTTGTAATTCTAAGAGGAGGACAGGCCTCACCTTGAGGTTTATAACCCAAATTAGAGTGCCCAGGTTGCCAGCTCCATCCCACACTGCCACTCAATAGAGAGGTTGGGGGTAATGAGGACAAAACAGTGTTGTTTAACTCCATTACTTTACTTCTGGGTAAACAGTGTAACTTGATGCTGCAGGAATTTCCCTGATCTCTATGATTTTTATCACAGAGTTTCAGGGAAACCATAGAGTGTTGTGTGACATGGTGACATGACTTCTGGGTATACAGCTGGAAGTGAAGTTCTGGTATTATGCTACATCATTTTATCCAGTCCCCCCACCCCAACCTCCCAGGACTGGCTACCAAATGTAATGCTGTTATTTGCCAAAAATTCCTGGTTTAGGCCACATTTGGTAGAGAAGAATGGGTAATATACAACATATGAAATTGTATTCTTTCCAAGACCCTGACATTGCTTTCAGGGAAGATTTAAAATTCTTAAGTCTGTTTGAATCTTGTGTTATGGAACAGCCATACCTTGGAGACAGTCCTGACTCCTCTGATGAGGAACAGCTGGGTTCTGTATCTACCAGCTATCAGTGAGCTGCAGCTGAGCAACCAGACAGAACTGAACTGAACTGATGATTTATTGATGTAGCCTTTGGCCATAACATCTCAACAAAATCTCCACAACATATAATAGATTCGGAACAAGATTTAAACTATCCATTATGGCAAGATAAGTTTTACAAATTTATAATATGCATATATAAGGTTAAAAGAGATATATGCAAAGTCCTAAAATATAAAACCTGTAATTTAGCTAAAATTCTAATAGATGTACCAAAGGTTAGTTTCATCCTTATGTTTATTGAAAGAAAAAGAAAAATAGCCACCTTATGAGTAACCTCTGGGATAACATCAGCTAGTAAAAAATTTAAACATTCCTCTGCCGAGCCACAAAAATTAATAAGAAATAGGTGCAGCAGTTTCTTGTGAATGTACTTGTAGTGAGGACAGTATAGCAGATAGTGGATAATGTCTTCCACCTGATTTAAGTTGCAGGTGCAGAGGCGCTGATCCACAGGTAACATGGAATCTACCCTGAAGATATGCCGTTGCCAGGGTTTGGGAACGAGCCTGGGTAAATGTCTTTCTCAAGGGGGCATTAGAAAGGTCGGTCAGATATTGTGAGAAAGATTTATGTTTCCTAAACTGGGGGTACCAAAAAGAGAATCTAGATTGGGAGACCTGGCTAGCATTTCATAAGGTTTCTTGACCAAAAATCCAATCTCACATTTTACCTGAATCCCACCACTGTACTTCCTCTAAGGGGGGCAAGGAGTACAAATGCAAAATAGGGGAACAGAATAGAATCATTTTATTGTATGTGGCCATAGGCCTTCACAATATCAAAACTCTCAGATAGAAGGAGTATACCATTCTTCAGTCAATGGTATACAATAGCTGCGCTCCCCTGCTAGAACCTCCAAACAAGCAAAATAGGGGAGAATAATTTGGACCACTTGTTCACCTCCTTGTACTACTGGAAACAGTATTTTACAAGATGGACATCTGGAATATTAACTAGCTGCTTATAATATTTTAACAACTTTAAATGTATTCTTGCTGTGACAGGCAGTCAATTAATTCCACCGGCTTTAAAGGTCTTCTGGGACAAGGTTATTGCTCAGCTTTTATACAGGGTGGAAATCTGGGGGTGGAATGAGAAAATATTTTCCCAGTTAGAAGCCATTTAAAGTTTCTTTTTAAGGAAAATCTTACGTCTTTTGCAGAGAACCCCCATGCCACACTTAAGACTAGAAGTCGGCCTACCATCTGTCACAGCAACCAGACAGGGAATAACTGCTTGCTGTGGACACACAGCCAGGAGGCAGTGAGGTACTGGTTTTATCTCCCAGCCCTGAGCTGACAGTTCAGGGTCAGTCAGCTGACCCATGTCCCCCAGGGCCCCCAGTTCTGCAAGAGCAAAGCTGGCACAGGTGTAGAGTGTATTTACAATCCAGACAAAGGTCGGCCCACCTCCAAACCCAACATTGGCTGCCAGTTGCAGAGGAAGGAGGAACATCACCAGAGGCGACATGAAGCATCTGGTGCAGGTGTGATGTAGGGCTTGGAGTGCATAAAAGTATGGGAGTGGGGGAGGAGCTCTTCAGTGTGGCCAGGGGTCATTTCGTAGAAAAAGAGCTAGGGGGACTCATTAGCATAACTCATTAGCATATGCCACACCCCCTGACATCACCGGAAGTGTGTCCTCCCCACAGCCGGTGGCGACCTCCAGCGGGCACCAGCAGGGAGCTCCAGGCCCCGCCCTCCCGCACCTCACCCGGGGGGATGGCGTCTCCCCGCGTCCCCCCCCCAAATGACCCCTGAGTGTGGCTTCAACATGTTCCCTTAGATGCTGACCTACTGCTGCTGTATCGGTCTTGCTTCTTGGAAACCTGACCTTGGCCTGCTCAGACAACTCTTGTATAATTTACGGACTCTTAAACTCTAGCATCCTGCCTCTGATAACCAGCTCCCGTTATCTGCCTGAGTTAACTCTGCATATGCTGGCACCTGCCTGAAGTAGAACATCTTGACTGAAATAGGTACTTACCATTTTGTCTGAGTACCTGTCTCTTTTTCGTGCGGAACAACCTGAATACCAGTGTCTCTTTCAAGCTGCCGGATTGTGAAGTTTTTATCTTGGTATGCTGTACATTCCACATATCCATATTTATCAGATGAAGCATTTCTGTTGAATAATTTAATTCGAACCCCAAACTCTTTGTGTGGCCGAGAAATCATATATTTAATCTGCAATTTCAGCCAAAATATTTTTTAAATTAAAGTGTTTTCTTGGATCAGTGCCAGTTCTAGATTTTATGGTTTGATATTTGTATAGAGATGTTCTATTGGTTATTGAACATTTCTATATTTTGTTTGTGCATTGCCTTGAGTGTTACAGAAAGATTACAATATTCTCCTAAACAGAGTTATACCCTTCTAAATACACTGATGTCAATGGTTTCTATTCAGAATTTCACTGTAAGAAAATGTTAAATAATAATAGATTTTTAAAGTCAATGTGATTGCATTTTAACTTTGCAAACAGTTCGTGTTCAAAATACTAAGCATTTTGTATGGTAACTAAACCAACCAAATATCTGTGCTGGTATAAGCCCACAGTCATATACAATCTTCACTTCATCAGAGGTCTTTGAGGATTGGTTTGTGAAGTTGTCTGCACTCGTATATAACATCTAGTTATTTCCATTATGTGGAACATCTGAAAATTAATGGGGGCAGGAACCATTTCTTGCATTTCACACACAGTAAAACAATGACTTCTTTAAAGAAAACTTAATTGATTTTGTACATGAACCAAAAGTTTACTACGTAATGACACACAGGCTGACCCTCCCAGGTATGTTTAAATTTTTCAGTCAATATAACTTAGCCAGCAGAATATCGAGAAGATATTTATATCCTAAATACCAGCATTTGAACCTTGGCCTATTTCATACATGCATTCTAATTCATTCCCCCTTACAGTTTATGAAAGGATCTCAGTCATTGGTAGCCAAAGGAATTCATGGAGGTCCCTACTGTTTTAAAAGTAATAATGTTTTTTAATGCAAATAATGTTGATAGGACTGAATAACATGCCTAGAAGCTCTAACCTTTGCTGGTGATTCCTTAACTAACTCTTCTTCAATTTCTTTTTCACTTCCAAGAGAGACCCAAGGTTTGTGCACAGGAGGTTTATAAACATAGTCTTCTTGGATTCCTTCTTTAAATTCTTCTTCTTCCTCTGGCTCTGGAGGCTATGGGGGGAAAATATTTTCAAAGTCCTGTAGTTATAGATATTTACTATATAAAGGTAAATGTTAAAACATGATGTCCTGTATCTAATCATGTTCCAAGGATTTAAATACACTTAATTCTTTGTAAGAGGGGGTGGTGATTTCTATCAGTTCCCCGTCATACTGCAGACCATACCACTGTGCTGTTCCAGGAACAAAATTTTTGGCTAGGAAGGATTTCAGTGAGCTGTAGTGTGAGAGGAAAATTGTGAGAGGGGAACTGGTGGAACTATCTGCCCCCCTTAAGGACTCTGGAGAACTTCTACGAGAGAGTAGACAATACTGAGCTAGATAGACCAAACCTCGTACACCTTACATTTAAAATGCTTTCCTTGGCCTCTTCAGTTGCAATAAGATAAAATACTTGTCCATATTTTAACTCTCTGTCAAAGACTATCAGAAGTTCTTCTCCAGGGTAATCCTGTGTGAATAAAACCAATGGATAAGTCTCAAGAAGACATAGTTACACAATTAGCTACAGTCAACACTAATGCAACACTGATGAATTTGAGAAGTCGTCAACAATGTTTTCTTTTGCCCAGCCTTGTTTCAGAGATTAAGCCCTTCTCTTAGATTTCTTCATGAAATCTCCAGTCCCTTATGGTCACATCCTACAGTACGTTTACCCAGCCATGGCCATTTTACTTCCATTCATGGCCCTTTCTACTCCATGTACTTGCTTGGACCCCACAGAAGAGTTTTCTGTCTGTGAATAACAACTTTCTCACTACCCCACTTTTGCTGCAGCTCCAAATGCCGCCCAAAGTGCTGGTCCTGGGGGAGGGGTTTCCCCCAAGAATAGCATGGGGGAATTATAGATATGCAATGGAAAGGGTATCAACACAAATTCCATTAGCAGAAATATTCCACTGGATCCGGTCAACTGTCAAACAAAGCCACTGTGCTCTGACCTGGATAGCCCAGGCAAGCCTGATCTCGTCAGATCTTGGAAGCTAAGCAGCATTGAGTCTGGCAAGTACCTCGATGGGAGACCTCCTTGAAATACCAGCAGTTGGGAGGCGGGGGCAGGCTTTATTCAACCACCTCTCTGAATATCCTCCAGGCCCCCAATAGGGTCAGTCACCAGAGGTCGCCATGACTTTCAAGTGCACACACAGTCAGTCACCAAAAGTCGCCATGACTTCCAGGTGCACACACACTCACATGCACATGCACGCACACACAAACACAAAAACAAACAAAACAAACAAGAAAGCCACTGTGATGTGGTTAGAGTATCAAACAAAGATCTGGGAGAACCAGATTCAAATAATAGCTCAGCCATAAAATCTTGCTGGGTAAAAATTATGAGTACATATTATGAGTACTGAATTATGCATATATTTATGCATTGCTAACTGAGTACACACACACACACATACATAAAAATCACATACATACTTCTCAGTTTGCAAAAACCGTTTGAACAAAAAGTTCTGAATTATATAACATAAAATATAGGATACAAATATTTCAAATAATTTCAAATAACTGCCTAAATCAATAATACAAAGTAAACAGACATTCAGTCAGTGCATTCTGATTCAATGATCAACCTCCATTTTAGGTGTTAATTCCTATTCTATCTGTCTGCTCACAGCCTTACGTAATGTGTCTTTTACCATGCTATCCTAGCCACTCTTTCTTACCTTTTCATTTTTTTTTGCAATAATCATACAAAAGTCCCTCATATATTTACTCCACTATACTAATGGAGTCTCCCATCTGACATACGTAAAATATTCTCATCAGCACTTTTAGATTGTACATTTTAACCAGAAAGGTCTCAAATGCCATTGCAGGCTGATTCATACAACATGAGGTAGTTAAGATCTGAATCCATACACCTGCCAAAACATCTTTGTATCCATGCCTAGAAGGAGACAACTTACTTGGATTATTTTTTTTATTGGATGGAAATCAGAAATTGCAGCTCTTGTCTTCATATCCTGAATTATATCCTCTTTTTTAACAAGTTTGTAAGGGTTGTCAGCTGTGATATCTATATCAGCACGACAGTTAAATATTTCCTGAGTTTTTTCAGTGAGAACCAGAGGAAAGATTTCTGGGTGGCCTGACAGAGGAAACAGCAAGAATAACAACAAATCTTGTCTTTAAGACTCCCAACATCCTAAAGTAAAATGCTGCTAATATTTTAATGCCAGTACATTGTTGAACAGGTATGATTGGAGTTTTGAACTTGTTACAGGCATTACTAAAATTTAATCTTGTTAGTTATTCTCCCAGTATTATGACCTTGTTACCTCTGTCATGTATTCTTCATGTACACATGATCCTTTATTACTTGATATCAAGAGTCAACTCACAACACAACATATACAAATGCAAAAGGGGCTTATTCAAGACCAGCCTTTCTTGCTAAAAGCCATTGACTTCAATGGACTTAGAAGATATAACTTTGCTTTGGATTACAAAGGCAATTCACACATAAGATCTGGTGCCTCTGTAGCAGTTAATGGACAGCTATTATGGATGAATTTAGTGGATTATGATGTCAGATGATACATCATTTAAGGACAGACATAGTTGTGGATATTATAAAACTATATTACAGTAAATCTAAACTTTGGGAGAGTGATCAGTTTAGGCACATGTGCTTTGGGAACATTTCCCCACCACCACCACCACCTAATCCTTTTTAGAACTGAAGAAATCCTATTTTAATCTTGCTCATCGAGAAATCTAAATCCCTCAGCAAATATCTATCATATAATATGTTATATTTGATAAATCCTACATTTATCCCTTAAGCTTTTGCATTGCTGGTCCTCTACTACACCTGCTCAACTACAGTTGTCCATTAGAAACTATACAAGGATAAGATCTTGCACAAGGGTTACCCTTTTTCTAGGTAAAGCCAATGAATAATTGTCCGATTTTGCTTTTAGGCATTGTTTTCTTGATACTACTCTAATTATCCTTTTAGATTGTACTTTTTATTTGATTTTATTAGACCCTGTTTGTCTCTAATTCAAATTTACTCTCATATGCCATTAATAGTTTTGAATTTATATTGTATATGACTATAATATGGCAATGAGACAGATGTCCTCTACCTGTGCACTTCAAGAGATGAAGACAAATTAACTGTAAAATACTGTTGTTTAAAATAGAAACATGTTAAAAAATTCCACTTTTGGCTCCATGAATCACTGCATCTAATAACAGACTGGCAGGCCCATGTGTGAATTATGAAAGCAGCAAAACCTGGCCACCCGCAGAAAAGTTATGGGTTTCTACTTGTAGGGCAGAACTCCCCAGGTATTCAGAAAAGCATGCCTTTGTAAATTAACTCCCCCTTAAAAGAGAAGATCTAAAGAATGCTGAGATAATGGGAAAAGGGGGGAGAGACTGGGGAGAAATTAGCCTGCTTGAGAACCTAAGGGCTTAAATTTTCAGGAGTGGAATAGGATGTACAAATTTTGTAAACCCCACCCCGAACAAATCCATTGCTGGCTCCATAAGTGAATTCTGACCTAATACTAATATAAAACTGGCTATTCATGGATTCTGCCAGTAGATGCTACTGACTTTACACATAATACCAACTGTTTTATGCTTCCTCAGATCTTACCTCCTGTGTCCCTCCTACTAGAGTTTTGTGTTCATGAATTTCAGGTAATGGATCTGCTCCCCACTAGGTCAGCTTCTGCAGTGCTCCAGAGTGTTTGGTTTTATATAACGTATTTACACAAATGCAAGACTAGGTTTTTTCCATAAGTAAGCCACAAAAAAGATAACCATCTTATATTTGCATACGTTACAGTTACGTCCAATAGTGTGTGTGTGTGCGCACGCAAGCGCATACGCACATAACATTTTTAAGGAGGTCTTATATTCAGGGATATCCTCCTTTCATGTAAATACTGTACCTGACAGTCCTTTTTTGCAGCTAAACGTCAGAATTGTCTCATTTTCTTTTACCTTGTTTATGGTCTTCTGGATTTGCATACCATATACTCTTCAAACCAGAACTTACCCATGCTTGCCATAGACAGGTCAAGTTCTTCATCTTTTTTAGCTGAAATGAGATAAAGCAGATCTAGCATCAGAAGAAGCCTGAAGAATGGACCAAGGGCTCATGCAGTCCAGCAAAATCTTATTTCTCACTGTGACTACCAATCCACCTCTGGAAAGCATGCAATCATGAAGGCAACAGGAATCTGTCTAAATTTAGCCTATTATGCTCCACCCATGCCAATCATGAAAACAGCAAAACCAGGTCTCCCAACAGATGAAGGGAGTCCCCAAATATGCAGAAAAATACGACTTTATTCAGACCGAGGACTGAATATTCCCCAGGAGGTAAGGAATGCCAGAGGGGAACAAGGGGAAGGAAAGAAGGAATGATTCTGCTAGGGCATGTGACCATCAATACATCCTGTTTCAGAAATATCAGTGATTTAACTGTGCATGATATGAAGTCATACTCCTTGCTCTATTCTCAGTATACTGCTGTTTCACCAGTGATACCTCATGCTACCATTTTGAGAGATAATTTTATAAACCTCTAGCATTTCCTCCTTTATTTCTGTCTTGTCTTTAAACTGAAAAGGTTTTTTTTTCTTGAAGTAGAAAATCCCCAGATACTTTAGCTTTGTCTCATGGGGATAGTTTTTCAAACCCTTGATATGTCAGTTACTCCGTTGATGCGATGGGTGATCAGTGATGTGGCCAAACCATAGATTTCTATCAAGGTATATACTGACTGTTTTATAGTTAACAATTTCTCAAATGTCAGTTTGACTTTTTTCCACTACAGCTGCAGACTGAGTTGAAACTTTAAGTGAGCAATCCACAACATTTTCAAAGATTTGTTTTTTTTAAAAAACCCTAAATGCCTGGAATTTTTCAACTAAGTATTGCAGAAAGCAAAAAAGAATGGTATACTTTTCATGAATATGATTCTTTGACATGTAAAACTAGATAAATGATTTCTCCAGTAGTACACTTACCAGAAAGCTTTAGTTTTCCTTTGGCTGATCCTCTTGGTGATCCTTTTGGTGATCCTTTAGGTTTTGGTGATCCTTTAGGTTTTGGTGATCCCTTACCTTTAGGCTTCTTTACTCTACCAGTTGGAGAACGGGACTTACTAGATGTTGGGCTGTCAGCCATTTTTCAGAATTTTTTTTTTGCTGCAAAATGGACATCAGCATGTAGTCAAGAGGACAAATTCATAGGTACAGTTCAATAAGCATTTATAATCCCTATTCTGTATCATACTGGGAGCACAGCGCATGGTTAGTAATAGAAACTCGTTTAATAATCATAAGTGAGACTGAAGCATTTCTAGTCCCAGAGTTGACTCAAGAGATGTTGCTGGTTGGAGTATACCCAAGAATCTCTTGCAAAGTCATAGGATGCTCAGGCACTGTTCCTTACAGTATGTGCAACTGAAAGTCCTTTTATGACTTTGCAGGTGATCCTTGAGCAGGTATTTTGGATTTAAGATGTTCCATTGGCACATCTTAAAACAGAACCACCTTGAGTGAGCTGCTGGCAGAGTTGGTCTTGTTTTGGCTGCTCCCTAAAGTGTTGTTTTTATAGTGTGGGGAGCTTGGAGCAAGAGAAGGAGAACAGAAAGAAGGCTTGCAGCTATACAATTAATTGGGGCAGGGCAGAGTTTCCAAAGAGCAGCATACTAGGGAGATGCTTGCTGGATATATAAACTAAATTAAGTGGCAGAAAGGAGTTTGATTCTGTTTTTAGGAACAAAGCATAAGTACGTACCAGAACTGCATAGTAGGAAACATGAGAGGGGAAAAAGAGAAACAAGTAACTCCAGCACCATCCTGTGGAAATTATTCACATCACAGCAAGTAAAATGGCAACTTTGTAATCTGGGTGTATTTGGGTCTTATTTTTGCCATTTTTTACATAATTTAACACCATATAATTTGAAAAATGGAGTCTTAAACATTGGGTATCTAGTAGTACAGTTAGTCTTCCACAAGTAGCCACAAGTAGATTTGATTTTAACAGTGCAGATTTACTTCACTTCATTTCTACAGGATTCATAGGACTGCACAAGCCTCCTCCTGTTTAGGCAAAGGACATTTATACTTGGTTCAAGATTGCTGCCAATTTCTTTCCTACTGCAGACTCCCATGTTGCAACTGTTCCCAAGGGTCCACTGACCCAAAAGAACTGCATTTTAGGGTACACAGCAGGCTGCAACGAGAAAGAGGTGGTAATAAAGTTCTGTACCACTGATACAGATCTCCTCACAATACAATTCCTTGCCTACCATTGGCTGTCCAGGCTAGATATGTAGCACATTATGGGAGCTGCAGGGTGACAGTGGGGTGGGGGAGGGGAGTTCAAAGTTTTGTTTTTTGTAGTTTATTATATTGTATGTCTAGATAATACATGTAAAATATATACTGTTTCTTTTAGTTCACAAACCATTTAATTTCTTAGATTGTGATACCCTTGAGAGCAGAAGTATTTACAATAGAAGAACTATTGTAAGGCATTCTGAGTCTGTGCAGTCATGAGGGACAAAATCATAATGTAATAATTAAAAATTAAACAATAGACCAACTGTATGACAAGGTTGAATCATTTTAAATTAAGGTGATTTACAGTGCAACCCTTAACAGTTATACTATCTAAATCCATTACTTAAATTGATTTAGAGAGTTGTAATTCTGTTCAGGATTGCAATCACCAAGAAAAAACTCTCCTATTTGACCTTTAAAAAATAGCATAATAATTACTAGATCCACCCATTAAAATGTAGTTTTATAACTAAGTAGAGCTTTTATGCCCCTGGAAAATATAACTGTAAATTATTTCTTAAATATCTGGCATTTTTGCTATTTCAGAAAATAGTGCATGTCATGGCTTATTATTTAACAGATAACATACTCTTTGTCTTCTATCAAACTGCACTAAGATAATAACTAGAGATTAACTTCACCCACAAAACAATTCATAAACTCTATTTCAGAATATGGATCTATATTTGCTCTTCTCCTCTCTGTACATCTGCAAGAACAGGCCCCATACAGGCCCCAAAGAGCACTTCGGTCGGGGTCACAGCACCGTTTAGTGACCCCGGGCCCTAAAGAGGCCAGGCTAGCTACCACGAGGGCCAGGTCCTTTTCAGTGGCGGCCCCTATCTGGTGGAATGAGCTCCCAGAGGAGATCAGGGCTCTGCAGGACCTTTTACAGTTCCGCAGAGCCTGTAAGACGGAGCTCTTCCGCCAGGCTTTTGAGTAGGGGCCGCCGCCGCCACTACCACCACCACATATATGTGGAGCAGGACTGACGGGGTAGGCTAATGAGAAATCGGAACATCATGGCTCATGCTGTCCCCCTTTTTCTGATTTCGATCTTGGACATCTTCCTGACGTGTAATGGAGAGTGTGGAAGTCTAGTCCTCCATGTATCTTGTGAGTTGTGAATTGTTTTTAACTTCTGTGGTTTTAATGTATCTGTTTTATAGCACTTTGTGCCCTGTAAGCCGCCCTGAGCCTGCGTGCGGGGGGCGGGATAGAAATGGAATGAAATAAACAAACAAACAGAAAAACAAACAAACAGGAAATAAGACAATTACTGGTAGATGAAGTGCGCAGAATTTCCAAATATGAAGGCTAGTCGTTATAGGGAATATAAGTGATTTCCTTCCCCATGGAATAAAACATATATTTGGTTGGTAGTCATGTGCATTTATTATCTGAAAACTGAGCTGAATGCAGAACTCTGATAGTTAAAAAGCATAAAATATAAGTCTGTATCATACTCCTGTGTGAGAATTCAAAATAGATTACAATGACATTTTTTTCAATTAATGTTAAAATTATGCCTATGAATGCTTAAAAACTGGAGCGGTGAGATGAAAATGGAACTAGGAACTATTAAATGACTCTTTTTCATTTGTCAATCACAGCAAGCCTGTCTGTTCAACCTTTTGTCATTTTATCAAGTGAACTCGATTTGGAAAAAGTTGTGCCATCTAACACAAAGGGTGCCTGATGGTTCAAAACATTGAATGGATGAATATTAGAGTTCTTTTACATTCATTTTGGAAACACTGTCATTCATTTCTTCAGCAAGACAACGAAATAACCACAGATTGGAAAATATTATGCAGCTCTCCCAAATCAGCCAAACACTGAGTCACTTGAAGAAAGGAAACCTTAAATTTCAGAGATTAATCACAGGACTATTTTTAGGAAAGTAATTTATATGGGAAGGCAGAAGGTTCCTAAAGGCAGCTATTTATCAAATTAATCTTTCTCAATCTATTTAAAATATTACCCCAGGTAACTTCATTGTTGGTGTTCCTGTAAATATCTAAAAAGTATGCAGACCAGTGCAGTATATGAAAAATGACTTTGGGGGAGATTGACATGCTAAGCAATGGGATAGAGCCATGATCCATTAGAAATAGTGGAATGTGCAGAATTCAGTACCTTTTTGTACAAATAGGATATTCCCATGGATTAGGTAGAATAAAAAAATACAAACTTGAAACCAGGTTTCTATGTGTAAAGCATGTACATCATTTTAATATTAAACAAAATTATTTCTAATTATTAAAAACCTTAATGAAGGTAGAAGAGGAAAGTGTGAGACAAAGACTAAGATGAAAGAAACTGTGTAATATTCATCCATACCACTACAGTTAGTGTTAGAGGCTACAAGTATAGTTAGTGTGTGTTATACATAGATGCATGTTCAGATGACATGCCTTTGGCATCTGCTTGTCCAGTTTATGTGGATACCTTTCAGCTAGTGGCACCTGAGTATGTGAAAAGGACCCTTGGAGAGGTGAGGCCTACAACCTGTGTCCTTGACCCTTGCCAGCTGATAAATGCTGCCAGAGGGATGCTTGCAGAGTGGGTAATGGGAGTGGTAAATGCTTCCTCAAGAGCAGGAGTTGTGTCAAGGAGTGCTCAAGGAGGCAATGATTAGACCTGTTCTGGGGGGGGGGGAACCCTCCCTGAGCCCAACTGTATTGGAAAACCTCTGGCTAGTCTCCAGTCTTCCATTCTTGGGTAAGGTGCTAGAGTGAATGGTTGTTTCTCAGCTCCAAGGAAGAGACTGATTTTCTGTGTCCATTTCATTCTAGTTTTAGGCCAGAATTTGGAAGACTGCTCTGGTCACTTTGGCTGATGACCTCTACTGAAAACTAAACAGGCAGTGTAACCCTGCTAGTACTGCTGGATCTCTCAGCAGCCTTCAGTACCATCAAAACATGGTCTCCTGAGCCACTTCTCAGTGCTGGGACTCAGGGACACTGTCTCACAGTGGTTTGAGTCCTATCTGGGAGGCTGGTCCCAGAAGGGATTCCTGCTCTGCCCCATGGCTGTAGGCCTGTGGGCTTTCACAGGGCTCAGTCTTATCCTCCATGCTGTTTAGCATCTACATGAAGCCACTGGAAGAGGTCATCAGAAGGTCTGGGCTGCAATGTCACCAGTATGTGGATGATACCCAGTTCTACCTTTCTTTTCCACCAAATTCCAAGGAAGATGTTGACATTCTAAACTGGTGCTTGGAGTCAGTAATGGGCTGAATGACAGTGAACAAGCTGAAACTTAATGCTGACAAGACAGAGGTTAGCAGAAAGGTAACCAAGGAATTGCCATCTTCCCTTTGGATAAGGGTATACTCCCTTTGAAAAGTCAGGTTCACAGTATGGGAGGGCTGCTTAATGCAGCAGTCACCTTACAAAATTAGGTGGCTGCTGTGGTTTGGAGTGCTTCTCCCCAGCTTCAGCTGGTACACCAGCTGTGCCCATTCCTGGCTCGGTTTGATCTAGCCTACAGTGCCTTAGTCACATCTATACTGGACTATTGCAATGAGCTCTACTTGTGGCTGCCCTTGAAGAGTCTTTGGAGGCTGCAGCTAGATCAGAATGCTGCAGTTAGACTGCTGGTTGGGGCTAATTACCAGGATCATGCAACCCCAGTTCTACAGCAATTACACTGGCTTCCAGTCCACTTCTGAGTCCAATTCAAGGTATTGGTTTTGACCTTTAAAGCCCTACATGGCTTGAGATTGGGGTATCTGAATGGCTATCTTCTCCCATATGTTCCTGATTGGGAACTAAGATCACAGGTAGAGGCCCTCTTGTTTGTCCCCAAAGAAGCTCATCTGGTGGGTACACAAGAGGACCTTTTCAGTG